GGGGGGGGGGGGGGGCTCACAGCTGAGATATCTCTCCCAATCTTTAACAGCTGCATGTGGGTGTGGGACCAGCCCATTCCATGTCTCTACCCCTCCTACTAGCCTCAGTGTGGCTTCTTCTGTATATCCTTAGCTATAGGACTTTTGTTCAGCTAGAGTTCAGGCAGGTGTCAATGATGGTTGCTCTGTAGTTTAGTTGTAATTTTGATGTGGTTGTGGCAGGACGGGAGCCAAAACTACAGAGCTTTAACTAAGTAAATTAATATGACTAGGTGAGTGGTAAAGCAGCACCTAGAACCCAGATCTTACAGCCCTTGTCTGAGTCAGTGTTCTTTTCACTTGCTAGGTTGCCATTGTGTATATAAAGACCACCTACTATTTCTCAATTAGACCATAAATCTCAACTTCCCATTCCAGAAATATGGAAGATAACCTGATAACCTTCAGATTACAGACATCTTAAAATGCTAAATAAAATATACAAAAAGTATTTTTAAATGCATAGCTAAACTTTCAAGAAAGAGAAATTCCCAGGGGCCAAAGATAAAGAGGTTACTGACACTCCAGCTCCCGTGGGGTAGGGGGATATCACTGGTCTTGATAACCTAGGGCATGGCTTTACATATCTACTGGTCTCCCCAACCTGCTCAGAAGGCAGCCAGAAACTGGAAAGCAAGAACCATAGGCAGACAGAGAACTCCAAGAGAAGCCCTCTAGTTAACCTCAAAGAGCCAGAAAGGGAACTCACACTGCTCAAAGAGAGTGGAGAAATCCCTCAGTTCTTTTCCTTTCTGTTTTCTCTCATGCCACAGCCCCCACACAAGCCCCAATGGGAATCTACAGGAGCCAGAACTCTGAGGTAAGGAAAACTTACTCTTCGTTTGAAGGCGCCCCCAAGAAGATGGACAAACCCTCATTGCTTTATTTCCTCTCTCTGCCCTCATGCCACTTTGCCCAAATTTTGGCACAGTCACAAAAGTGCCTGGTATTGTAGGGTAACTAGAGCCCCAGCTTTCTGGCCAAACAACTGGATAAAGGGAGCCCCAGGGAGCTAAAACCAGGCAAGTCACAAAGAGGGAGGAGCTTAGGAAAGCAAAAACTCAAATGAGCAACAGCTCTGAATTCAGAACTGACATTGAAATCACAGCGTACGCACAGAAGGCTGGTCAGAGCCTGCAGCCTGAAGTTAAACAGGTCAGTTGCCTTCTAAAGCAAAACTGTCAACATTCTCCATAAGCATTTAAATGAGACCCCGAGTCACATAATATTTATAAAGATACAATAAAAAATCACTCTGGCCCTGGCTGGTTTTGCTTAGTGGTTAGAGCGTCAGACCCTGGACCCAAGGGTTGGGGATTTGATTCCCAGTCAAGGGCATGCACCTTTGTTTCAAGTTTGATCCCTAGCCCCAGTTGGGGCAAGAGCAGGAGGCAACCAATCAATGTGTCTCTCCCACATTGATCTCTCTCTTTCTCTTCCTCTTCCCTCCCTTCCACTCTCTCTAAAAAAATTAATGGAAAAAATATCCTCAGGTGAGGATTAAAAAAAAAAAAAATCACTCTGTATGTGGAGAGTCAGGAAAATCTTGACTCACATGGGAAAAGACAATTGATATGTCAGTTAAGAGGAAACAGATGTTGGAATTATCTGATATAAACCTTAAAGCAGTTATAATACAAAATACTCCAAAAAGCAACAGTGAATACCTTTGTAATAAATACAGAAATAAAAAGTCTCAGCAAGGAGAAGATATAAAGAAAAACAATGGGAAAATTTTAAACAGAAATACAAATTTAGTAGACTAAGTAGCAAAACAGAGATGCCAGAGGAAAAACTCAGTGAAATTGAAGACAGATCAATAAGAATGATCCAACCTGAACAATAAAGGAAAAATGACTGAAAATGAACTGAATCTTGGGACCCATGGGACAAGAGCAAAAGGTTGAACATTTCTGTCATCACATTCCTAAAAGGAGAGGGAGAATGTGCTGAAAAGTTTTTGAAGAAATAATGGCTAGCCCGGCTGGGCATGGCTCAGCGGTTGAGCATCGACCTAGGATCCAGGCGATCGGGGTTCGATTCCCAGTCAGGGCACATGCCCGGGTTGTGGGCTGCAGCTGATCAATGACTCTCTCATCATTGATGTTTCTAGCTCTCTCTCCCCCTCTCTTTTCCTCTCTCTGAAATCAATAAAGATATATTAAAAAAAAAAAAAAGAAAGAAAGAACAGCTAAAAACTTTCAAAGTATGGTAAAAGACATAAATATAGAGATTTCAAGAAACTCAGTGAACCCCAAGCAAACCAAGCCTAAAGAAATTCATGCCAACACATCCTAAACAGCTGAAAACTAAAGATAAACGTGAGACAAAATAAAACATTTTCAGCAGAGACTGAAAACATTTGGCATTAACAGACCCTCACTGAAGAAGCCACAAAGAAAGAAAGAAAAAAATTTAATCTAGAAGGAAGGCGAGAGCTATGAGAAGGAAAGGTAAACAAAGAAATTTATAAACAACATATGGGTAAATCTAAATAAGTACTGACTGTATAAAATAACAGCAATGGTGATAATGATGTTAAAGACCATATTGAGGGATTTTAAAAGAATGTGAAACTAAAATACTAGACAATATTAATATATAAAATAGGAGGGTGTAATCAGGTTAAAGCATCCTAAGGTTCTTATATTATTTGAACGAAAGGTAAAGATTATCTTTAGGCTTTGTTAAGTCAAATATACGTGTTAGATTTTAAAAGTCACTGAAAAATATATGAATCAAATATTGACGCTGCCATCATGGAGTGAGTGTCCAGGCTCATAGCGATGATGAGACTGATACAAAAACAATTCAAATCCAAGGTTCAAAAACTAAAAAGTTATAGATGCCAGAACAGGAGTACTGCAAGCATGGATCTCTGATGTCAAGTCCCTTCAGCTCAAAAATTCTATGATCTGTAAGGAGGATGAGGCATAGAGTGGGTTGGGATTGGCCTGGGAAGTTCAGATTTCTGAGTTTTTCAGTTCTTGCGACAAGGCTCTTAGCATTCTAGGGTCCCTGTGTTGTTTGGACAGAGAGTAGAAGTCATGAGTTCTCTCCCCACTCTTCAAGTCTACAGAAGATTTTTGGAGTGAAAACCAATTTCACATCAGTATGTCACTTTTTTTTTTCCTTCAGTGGCTTCTTCAGGGAATTTGCGGTAAGAGAGCAAGCGGATGAGTGTGTGCTACATCTGTATGTAATAGTGAATGAATTTTGGACCTGATCTAATGCACTGCTTCAAGTAGTCAAGTCTCCTTTTCTCTGCCCCTCAGTGATTTCAGCCTTCCACCACAGTCCCATATCCCTGGCTCCAGTACCCTTAACTCAGCTTCCAGGGTTCATATTCAGCCCCAGCCCATACTGTTCCCAGCTGATCCTAGGGACTGAGGCCCATACATCATTGATGAGTGGACGCAGTTGCCTGGAGATGCTGCAGAAGACCACCTTGATGTCCTCTCCCTGACCATGGTAGATGATGTTCCGTAGAGCCTTCACTGCCTGAACTGTCACTCGCACCTCACTCTTCAGGAAGTCTCGCAAGAGTGGGACCAGGCTCTTCAGAGACTCTGACTATTTGGAAGAAGGCAGAGATCACTTACCACCTGGGGATCAATCAACATTTTAGGGACAGGGTTTTGAGAAAACAGATGGTACCTAAAAGAAACAGCCACAGGGAATCTAGGGGCTGGATGTGCCAAGGAAGTAGAAGACTGGTGCTCAGGGTGTTTAGGAAGCCAGACAGCCAGGCTATGTAAGTCTACAAACTGGATGTTGTACTGCCCTAGGATGAGGAGTTGGGGAGTATACTAAGCCCCAGGTAATTAAGAGGCCCAAGGGAGGTCAATTAAGTGGTTCGGAGACTAATACTTGATTCCATTGGCTCCCTACCCTTACTTGTCTTGGGTGTAGTGCCAGGTTACTGACTCCACGGAGCCCAACTTCCTTCATGATGAGGTTGGGCTCCTTGATCCACTTGATTAGATTGCCCAAAAAGTCTTGCCCCAGAGTCTCAGCTATTGATCGGTGCCAGAGGAGCTGTGGGTGCAAGGAGACTACAGCTATGGATGGAGAAAAAGTCATGGGTACCCCATTCCCCCCTCAGCCCTCTCTCAGGCCCCATACTCAGGTAAGGACTCTGACCAGTTGAGAGTAGTGGTAGATCTGTACACATGGGGTAGAAACTAAGGCAATGGAGGACAATGCTGGTAAAGTTTGCATTTGGGGCCAGATTCTGGGATCCAAAAATCATTCTGGGAGGACTAGAGCTGCTGATACCCTCCCCAGGGTTTCTCAGGCTCATGACATGACAGGGAAGCAAACTCCCCTTTAGATGGCACAATTCTATTCTTTCCACTTTCTGGGGCAAGTTTTTTAACACTTCTGTTAAATGTTCCTCAGCTACAGGAAACGAATGGCTAGGGCTATGGTCCTCTCCCAGGCTCTCACCTGTGCATAGAAAGTCCTGGCCAGGATCTTCTGATGGTTATCTAAGCTGTTGAGAAGGTTCTTGGCAAGGTTCAGAATTCGGTGCAGCATGGCTGGTTCACAGTTCTTCACAATGCCGCTGGAGTGGGGCAGAGGAAGCCAAGAGTTGCTGGGTCAAGGGGTGGGCAGTGTGGTGGGGGAGGTGGCAAGGGAACAGAGTGCACAGAACAGGGAAAACACGAAGACTGAAGTCTGGGAAATGAGGAAGGGAGGAAGGTTAAAGGCTGCTGTATTTGAGTGCTGGGCCATAGAAAATAGGGATTAGGGGTTAGAGTGGTATTGGGCATGCTGGGGAAATGGTCCCACCTTGTCAGTTCTATGATCCCTATGTAGTAAACTTTGGGGCAGGACAGAAGATTCCAGCACTTATGCTGATCTGCATAGACCACCACACCATCATATGCAGCTGCCAACAACACCAGCTTCACCACCTCCAGGGCACAACTGAAGGCCAGTCGTCACAGGGTTTGTGAAAAGAAGGGGACAGAAGGTGGACAAGGTGTTATGCCCTAGTTTGCATCTTTATTTCAGCAAGCCAGGAGACAGCTCCCTAATCTGGTCGCTAGCTGGGTTCTGCTTTCCAGCTGATGCAAACCTGTGGCTCTATAAAACCCATATCCTTTGCTTGTCTGCTCACCCCTTCGACCTTGGTGCTCATCCAACCACAGTCTTATAAAAGAGATACAGAGATATTCTAGTGCCATTGTTTTCAAATTTTGCTCTCCAGAGTGTAGAAGGGCTAGGATATCTCTTCACCTCCATACCCACCTAATCAGAATGTCTCTGGTTACTGGTTTTATTTATTTTTTTAATGGAAGATTTCACTTGAACACCCTGAGGTTTTTAAGAGAAGGTATGACAGCCACTTATTTAGGAGTTGAATCCCCATTTCACTGCAGAAAACTGCAGTAGTGACTTGCAGGTGATGGCACAGCTAATAACAAGGCTAAGCCAGAGGTTACCCGGATTCGATGGCCACAGCTACGTGAAGAGAATGACACAGGTGTAGCCCTGCCCTGTCATTTACCATCTAATTGAATCTTTTCATGTGCAGAGTCATGAACAGAGACGTGAACCACTGAGTGAATCAGAAGAGTGCATGCAAGAAAAAGAGTAACAAGAAACTTGAACATATGTGAGAACCTTCCAGCACGTGGTGCGGCAGCACCCACACTGATATGCTAGCTCTATTCTGCTGCTGTTCTCTTCCTCAGCATCCCTAAGGGTTCGGCATCTAGTTGTCCAGGACCCTCTGGAATTGAATAGTCTCATTCCTCCATCACACTGGGGTTAGGCTTACCTAGTAGGGTCAAAGGTCTTGCTCTTGCCGCCTGGACCCCCATCCTTCCTGTAGACCACCATCTTCTGGGGAGCATTTTGCTCAATCACCCAGTAGAGATGACACAGCACAGCCAGCAACACCCGGGGGTAGAGTTCCTGGATGGCGACCCGGCACTGGGACCCGGAGAGCATCTCACACAAGGCACACACTGCCTGGGGAGGACACATGGAAAGGGGGAAGCAGAATTGACTAGACCTGGTAAAGGCATAAAATGGTCCCACAATCCCACACACTGAGTCCAGCCCTGCCCCTCTCTGTCACTGCCCAAAGGGCAGAGTTCACTCTGGCTCAGGTTTCTAAGAAGCACCCAAAGACTGAAAGCCCACAGCTCATCTCTGGGGGAATGAGGGGCCATACACATGCAATCCGCTCTCCCTATATCCTCCAACATTAAAAACAAAACGGGAGCCAAATCTAAAGTTTCAGCAGAAAATAATGTGGGGCATACTTTGTCCACCCCAATTTCAGGCAACCAAACTTCATCCTTGGCGTCCCCCAACCCCATGCCACTGGCCAGGCCTCAGAAAAATGAGAACCAACCCCCAAACCAGGAGACAGAAAAAGCTGATTAACTCTGAACATCAGTTTTCTTGTCCATGAAATGGGATTGATCCCTGTCCTTTCTACATCATGCAGTTCTTGGATGTACAAGGTTAAAGTGCTAAGTGTATGTGCAGTAATAGTGAGTCCAGTGTTGACCCTCTCCTCTTTGCTGCTCCCTAACACCTGCTCCCACCCTACAGGTGCCCTTTAATCTTCAGCTCAGCGCCCAAGTCCCAGACAGTGAGCGAGTCCTTGGCCCCGCCCCTTTCTCTTGCTGACCGCCACAGGTGGCAGGGCCATCTCTGTCGTTCCCTCTGTGGAGGGGTTTTCCAGGATGCCTATGAGCAGCTGTAGGACGTTGATTGTGGTCTCTCGCCGGATGCCAAACGCCTTCCACAGGGCCAGAATGGTTCTGCAGGACCCAAGGACAGCTATGTCATGGGCTCTGGTGACCATGTTCCTAGGACCAGTCTGGTCTTGAGCCTATGAAGGGAGAGTTCTCGGGTTCTAGTGGGAGTCAGGCCCAAGAGGACTTGGCCAGAGAACATGGAATTTGATTGGCATCAAGGAGAAAGCATCCTTGTGCAGTGATTTTTATCATTGGCTTGGGTTGGAGCAGAGGAAGGTTTACTTGGATGGAGAGTGTACTCCTGGGCCTTGGGAGAGGTACCTATCCCAAGGGAGGGACTTGTTGAGCAGCAGGTGCACAACACTGTGGGTGTTGTTGCCTGCCAGCAAGCACATGGCCCAGAGGGTCTCCTCCTTTGTGTTGGGCTCCAGCTGCAGTTTGAGCCTTTCCATGGTGCCCTCCACAATTTCCTCAACCTGCAAGGCAGAGCAGGAAGAAACTCAGTTATCCTTTCTTTACTTCCTTTCTTCCTCCTCCCTCTCTACTAAGTCCTCAAACTCAAGGGGCCTAGTTGCAATCCTGTTAGTGACTCTCTTCTCAAGACAGAGTTCTGGGTGCCAGAGGCCAGACCAGCAGGACCCACAAAAGGAATTCCAGAAGCTCGTGCTAAAGTCCACAATAGCAAATGCCTGCCCATAGCTCCAAAATCCAGAAAGGTCTGAGGTTGCTCAGGAGACACAATACCCTCCAGAAGGAAGGCAGATACCCCAGAGGCACTGCAGGGCTTTTCCTCCCAGTTAAGATCAACTTCCCCCCATGAAACTGCAGGGACAGTGGCACTGGATGTGGAAGGACCATAGGGCTCTCATCTGGTCCTTAGATCTCTGATCTATGGACCTCTGGGAAGCCCATTTCATTGTCATACCTCAAGGACACCCCCTTGGTATCCTTCCATTTCTGGTACCTAGGCCAGGCCAGTCACATAAATGAGTGGAGGCAACTGGTGATTCAGAGGTAGGAGGTTGTGGAGAGCCCATGCCACATATAAAGGGGATGGTGGCCACTCAGAGAGTTGCCCTATGTGACCTCACTTTAAAGATTTTTTTCAGTGAAGTGGGAAAAAGATTTTAAAATGCTAGACCTTCCCATTTTTACATGTTTGCCTAAAAGGAAGTTTATGCAAAAGTCAGAGTCATTCTGTGAGTTTCCTTATTTGCAATCCACAGCCTTACCCCTTCACAGAGGTCTGAGCCCCTGACACTCCAGGGAATCACAGTGAATCCCCCAACAATACCTACATTCCTGCACATGGCTGTCATTAACTGAGGAATTGGCCGCCCAGATAGGAGGCACTGAAGTTACAAGTTCAGGATCGCAAATGTCAGAGCTAAGTGGGACCACAGGGGAAATCTAATGCAAGCCTACATTTTAGAAGTGAATGAATTAAAGCCAGTTGAGGAGAGGGACTTGGCCAAGGGCCTTCAGCTGGTTAGTAACAGCCAGGAGAAGAGCCAGGGCTCCTGAGATTCAGGGCAGAGCTCCAATCACAGCGTCACACTACCTTTATGATGTCTGTGCCCCGCTTTTTCATGACAGCACTCATCAACTGGGCTGCAGCCAGAGACACTTTGGCCCTGCTGCCAGTGAGTTCCTCCATGGCCGTCAGCACCAAGCTGGTGAGCTGGGACTTAGTGAAGTACTCTGCGAAGGCCTGCAACAGGGTGAGGTCAGACTGGTGGCATCAGGCTAGAGGCAGGGGACCCACCCCTGGCTGAGACAGCCAGTGCCATTCCTCCTGGTTAGTGGGGGGCTTCTCTTGGAAGCATTATGTGCTTTTGTCCCAGGCTTGTGCTGTCTGCCTACCTCCTAGAAGATTCTTTCACTGGGGACAGAGTCCTTGGGGATGGAAGGGAGAAAACACTGACTTCAGGTGCGATGTGGGGCTCAGAGGTCAGTGAGTGCAAAGGCAGAGCGCCGGGAGAGGAGGGCTGGGGCTAAGGTCCTCAGTGACATCTCTTTGAGGCAGGGGTTGAGTCTACACATTGCTTACAAAGCATCATTAGCATAAGTAAATGCTTCTGGGGGGACGGGAAAAAAGAAGGATTAGGACCTATGATACTAAAGAGGGAACAAATGGTAGCATGTGGTAGGAAAATTTCCCCCAAAGGAAAAGGCCACATCTAGTAATGGAATGGAAAGGGAGATGGGATAAGAGTTCCACTCATGAGTCTATAATATCATGTAAATGAGAGGCCCAGGCTTTCCCCACTTTGTCTCTGGTCCTGCCCCCTCACCTCAGCAATCTCGAAGGTGTTGTTGTAGAACAAGTTGGCACTATAAACTTCATTCTTGCCCTCTTCTTCCCACAAGCCCTCTATTTTCCTCTTCATCTCTGAAAAAAAGGCACCACCCCTCAGACACTCAGATGACATCTTAGACATCCCCCTTTCCCACCTTCTAGATCAAAACTCCTACTGAGCTAAGTCAGCTTAGGGCTATATATAGCCTGTGGGGCTGGAAGTAGAGGGGTGGGCATTAAGATAAGGAATGGTGGGAGCTGAGGAACCCCAATCTTGCCTGCCTCAGAGCAGAGACAGAACTGGGTAAAAGCATGGTGCTCAGCCAGAGGAAGAGAAACTAATTCAAAAGAACTATTTCCTGTGTAAGTATTTTGTCCCAAGAGATTATCTGTAGATGTTGGGGGCAGGCTCCTCAATGGAAATGAGGTACTAAGTAACTTCTTGGCTGTCACTTCTTGGCTGGGACAGAGTGTGTGAGGATGGCCAGGCCTGAGCGGGAGGTTGGAGGGGGAATGGTAAGAGAAGGTTCCCCATACTCTTTTTCTGCAAGAGGATACAGTAGAGGTTGTAGACAGCCTGGGAAGACAGGAAGCAGATGTTGTCCACTGGGTCCTGGCAGCGCATGGCCAGCAGCTTTACCAAGCGCCCCAGCCGGGTGAACTCAATTTCCATCTGGGGAAGAAAACTGAAAGTCACAACTTATCCCAGCCATTCCCTTAGGCTCAGTTACCACAGAAAAAGAACTCAGAGGAGGGAATGCATATCCCAGAAACCCGAAAGGTGAGAGTAGGTGTGGTTAATGGGAATGGACTAGGTAGGCGAATTGTGGCCCTAAGGGCATAAGGGATCATAGTTTTGGAATGACCTTGCTTTATCCCTATTCTTTGCCTCTTGACCCCTCTCATCTGTCAGGCCAGTTCAAATGCTTCCCTCTCTATGAAGCCTTCCCTGCCCCTCACTTGTAATTGTTTGTTTTGATCTTTCATTCCCACTACATTTGGCTCATTCATTATCCCCGTCTATTTAAGTTTGTTCCGTGGATGCCTCCCTCCCCAGGGCACTGTAAGATTCATGAAGGCAGGAAACTGCCCTGGTCATCTGCGTATTCGCTATAGCACTTAGCGCAGCGCCTGGCACAAGATGAGCACTTAGTAACTGCTTGTTCAGACACATAGCATCAATCTAAACCGAGTGGAATGAAATACAGTTGGTGGGTGGAGAAAAAGACTGACAGAAGACGTGAGAAGGGGGAAAGGAGAGGACGCGACGAGATGCACAAGAGGAAACAGGATGGGCCCGGGAGAAGGAGGCCGAGGATGGTGACTTAGGCTAGGAAATGTATGTGATGAAGGTTGGGATAAGGGCAACCACATGGGGTATGAGGACTCAGGTCCCAGGGCAGGCTTCCACTCACTTTGAAGTCGTCCAATTTTGCAGTAAAGCCAAGAATACGGGCAGCACACCACATGGCCCGCTCCCGCTCACTGTCCTTCTGCGAATTGAGCCACGTGTCCATAAGCTGGAGGGAGGAAAGAAAAAAAAAGAGGTCCATTCAGCTGCATCCCAGAAGACAGAACGGTATTCCTGAACCTGGCCTCTGCAAAGTATCATGGCACGACTTCTGACAGCAGAACCTCTTTTGCCAGGAGGCAAGTTATATGTGGGTCTGGCACCAGAGAACTTCATTCCTCTAGCTCCAAATTTCCCCCTCATCTAAGTGCTAGAAAGCTCCTCAATTCCTACCTCCTTCTTTCAGGTTAAATCAGCGGCTCTCAAAATATATTGACTCTGATTCACTTCAGTGGGTCACTCCAGTGTTCCCCCATCCACCTCTTCCCATTCTTCGGTAGAAAGGGAACTTGGTGATAACAGAGAAGAATCACTGTATTCACAGATTCCGGGGTAAAGTGTGTGTAAATATGCTTGAGAAGTATAATTATGAATGATTTCACTTGAAACACAATGCATAAGTGTCTCACCTTTGGTAAATTATGGGCCCAAAATACCACTGATCCAGAGATGCACTACTACTTGTCAACCTATAGCCATCAGTCTAATGATGATGCAACTACACAATCAGAAATTTATAATTGAAAAAGAAGAGCAGCAAGTGAAAAATCCACAGCCAACTCAAGAGAACACTGATGCTGCACTGATCAGAAAAAAAGACTTCCTGAAGATATGAGGAATTTTAGTGGGAGTTTTAGCTGGACTATGATGAAATACCCCAGTGCCAAGACTATGGTCTCTAAATATCATTTTTCACTACAAGGAATCAGAGCTCCTTGGAGGCACAGTGATACCAAGGCTGAGACAGGAAGTAGACAAGATATCACACTGGAGAGCAAGGAGGTTATTGAAGACTATTGGAGTGATGTTAGAAGGATTCAGGAGTCAACTTGAAGAATCTGCCATTGATCAAAGATCGGATAACTTAGGCATCAATAAGAATAATGATTGAAATTAATTAAAACACATGAAACATTTAAAAATTCATTTTAAATTCAAATGATACTAGAAAAAGAACTGTCACTTTTGATTTTGGAGAATACTGGGAAATAATTCCTTACTTTGAACACTGATAAAGGGAAAGGATCCAGCATTTACCTTGTGTTTTCTATATGAGCTATACCTCAAAGGTAACCAAATAGTCTATAAAGGTAACTTCTCTTTATAGAAGAATTCCAGCTAAAAATGAATGATAGAATTACAATGTCATATTTTTGCAAAAAGAAATAGAGGTATATTCACTCAATGGACTACTATATAGCAATAAAAAAGAATGATCCAGTGCTACATGTAACAACACAGATGAAGCTCAAAGATATAATGTTGAAGTGAAGTAATACAGACACAAAAAAGTACATTCTATACAATTCCATTTATGTGATGTTTAAGAACAAGCCAAACTAATCTAAGGTGAAAGAATTCAGGACAGCAGTTATTGGCAAGGGTTATTCACTGGGAGAGGGCACATAGGGAACCTTTTGGGATATTGGAAATGTTCAATATCCTGACCTGACTGGTATTTACAGACACATAGACATATACATATGTAAAAATGTATCTAAATACACTTAAGATTTATACACTTTATTGTAGCTAGTCATAGTTCAATAACAACGTTTTGAATGAATTTTCAACCACTAATGAATTAATGAATCTAAGTAATGATCGTCAAAAGCTATGAACACCACAAATAGACAACCAGAAATCATGTACCTCTGGTGGAAGAAGACAAGACTACTTGTGAAGTAATCTTGTCAAAAATTGATCAGATCCTGCCCTGTCTAGGTGGCTCAGTCAGTTGGAGCATCATCCTGTGCACCAAAAGGTGGTGGGTTCGATTCCCACCCCAAAAGAGCACATACCTAGTTTGCAGGGACATACCCAGTCAGGGAACATACAGGAGGCAAATGATCAATGTTTGTCTCTTGCATCAATGTTTCTCTCTCTCTCCCTTCCTCTGTCTCTAAAATCAATTTTAAAAAAACACATATCCTCAGGTGAGGATTGAAAAAACTTGATCAGGTTCATGATCAAGCACCTAGATCTAACAATTAATTTATAAGAAAGATTTGGACAGAGGAACTTGTTAAGTGACCCCAAAAGGTGATAATTAGCACAACCTAGAATATGGAAATTTTACAACACAAATGATATGGTTTCTTCAACAAATAAATTCCAAGGAAAAAAATGATAGAAGGGAAATCTAAAGATTAAGAGAGTTAAGAGACAAACCAACCAATTGGAATGTCTGAATATTTAATGCTATTAAGAAATAAAACTAATGATAAGTGTTAAAGGTAATAAGATTATACAGTTTTTAAAAAAGAATCCTTATCTTTTTTTTTTTAAATATATCTTTATTGATTTCAGAGAGAGGAAAGAAGAGGGAGAGAGATAGAAACATCAATGATGAGAGAGTCATTGATCGAGCCCACAACCTGGGCATGTGCCCTGACCAGGAATCAAACCCTGATCGCCTGGATCCTAGGTCGATGCTCAACCGCTGAGCCACGCCTGGCCGGGCAAGAATCCTTATCTTTTAAAGAAATATACTAAAATATTTACAGATAAAATGGTATGAAATTTGTTTCAAAATAATCTAGAGGTGAGGAGGTATAGATAAAATAAGATTAGTTATGTTTTGGGGGGTTGTTAATCCTCACCCGAGGATTTTATTTTTAATATATTTTTTTATTGATTTCAGAGAAAGGAAGGGGGAGAAAGAGAGACAGAAACATCAATGATGAGAGAGAATCATTGATCAGCTGCCTCCTGCACACCCCCTACCAGGGATCAAGCCCAAAACCTGGGCATGAGCCCCCACTGGGAATCAAACCATGATCTCCTGGATCATAGATCAATGCTCAACCACCAAGCCACGCCAGCCGGGCCCAGGGATATTTTTTCCAATGATTTTTTAGAGAAAGTGGAAGGGGGTGAGGGGGAGAGACAGAGAGAGAAACATCGATTGGTTGCCTCCCACTTGTGCCCCAACTGGGGTTGGGGATCGAGCCTACAACCCAGGTATGTGCCCTTGACTGAAATCGAACCTGTGGCCTTTCAGTTTGTGGGCTGATGCTCTAACCACTGACCCAAACCAGCCAGAGCAGACTGGTTATGTTTGGCCATTGAAGCTGGGTAACGGTACAAGGGGGCTCATTATACTATTCTCTCTACTTTTGAAGATGCTTGAGATTTTCTATAAAAAAATTAAAAAGAAAAGAATGGAAAATTGAGAAGAATAAAAGTAAGGGTTCTGGTTCTGGGTAAGAAGAAATAAGCACCCTCCATCATACCTCTCCCAATTAATGCAGCTATAAAATCTGAACAGCCTGGCCAGACATAGCTCAGCAGTTGATCATCAACCTAAGAACCAGGAGATCGTGGTTCGATTCCCAGTCAGGGCACATGACCGGGTTGCGGGCTCGATCCCCATTTGGGGGTGTGCAAGAGGCAACGGATCAATGACGACTCTCTCGTCACTGATGTTTCTATCTTTCTCTCTCCCTCTCCCTTCCTCTCTCTGAAATCAATAAAGATATATATTTTTTTAAAAATCTGAACAGAATGCATGGAGCAGCTATTTGAGGACTCAAAAATGTAATAGTAGCAGGTGGATTAGGGGAGAAGATCAGCACGCAAAGTAACACTGAATCAGTGGTGAGTTTACCATTGTTTTCCTCGGGCATCTTTTGGCTTGAACTCAATACAGTCTAAAACCTGGTGCAAACAGAGAAAGCTCCAGGAAAAGTGCTCTAATTATAGCTCAAGGAGTGGGAAAGGGAACTGCTAACGCTCAGAGAAAGCGGGGGAATGCCTCCCATACATGCCCTGACCAGGGCTGGGGATTGAACCTGCAACTGAGGTACATGCCCTTGGCCTGGAATCAAACCCTCAGCCCTTTGGTCCATGGTTGACGCTCTAACCACTAAGCCAATCCAGCCAAGGTGACTTAGCTTTTTTTTTTAAGATTTTTTTTTTTTTTTTTTTTAGAGAGAGAGGAAGAAAGAGAGAGAAACATTTACGAGAGAATGAAACATCGATCAGCTGCCTCCTGCACAGCTCCTACTGGGGATCAAGCCAGCATCCAGGGCATATGCCCTGACCAGGAATTGAACGGGCAATCTTACGGTGCATGGGACAATGCCCAACCAACTGAGCCACACTGGCCAGGGCACAATAGACTTTAAAATAAAGGCTATACCAAGAAACAAAGAAAACCCCAGCAATTTCACTTCCAGGTATTTACCCAAAGAAACCCAAAACACTAAATGGAAAAGATATATGCATCCATATGTTCAGTGTAGCATATTTACAATAGCCAAGATATAGAAGCAACCTAAATGTCCATCAGTACATGAATGGATAAAGCAGAAGTGGTACATATATACAACAGAATATGACTCAGCCATAAAAAAATGAAATCTTGTCATCTGCAACAACATGGATAGACCTAAAGGGTATTGTGCTGAGTGAAATAAGTCAGTCAGAAAAAGACAAATGCCATCTGATTTCACTTGTATGTGGAATCTAAAAAAATAAACAAACAGCCTGGTTGGGCGCGCTGAGCATCAACCTAGGATCCAGGTGATTGGGGTTTGATTCCCGGTCAGGGCACATGCCTGGATTATGGGCTCAATCCCCAGTCAGGGGCGTGCAGGAGACAGCCAATCGATGACTCTCTCATCATTGATGTTTCCGTCTCTTTCTCCCTCTCCTTTCCTCTCTCTGAAATCAATAAAGATATATTTAAAAAATAATAATAAAAAAATAAAAGATAAATAAAATAAACAAACAAGCAGAACAGAAACAGATTCATAAATACAGAGAACATTTTGACAGTTGCCAGATGGGAGGGGTGTGGGAATATGGGTGGAAAAGGTGAAGAAATTAAGCAGTACAAATTGGTAGTTACAGAATAGTCATTGAGATGTAAAGTACAGCATAGGGAATATAGTCAATAATATTATAATAACTATGTATGATGTCAGATTAGTACTAGGTTTATTG